TTAGTAAAACATGCACACAGAAAATTCAGGTATGGCATTTTTTATACTGAAAAACTGGTTGAGGCATAGTCAAACAGAACTATTGTTACTGTTGGTGAATTTGAGTGAAATTTAGGTCTGTTTCCAACAATTTTTTTTAGTTTCTAAGAAGACCAAAGTGAAGGGGAGGAATAGTAGTTCTTTTTCCATTTTGCTGGATTATGAACAATAGGCTTTCTCACTGTATTTTCTAGTTTGCGTTCATCTCCAGCCCAGAATTTTGTTTACAACCACGAAGTTCCATTAATAAAAAGCCATCCTGCCCCTATGGTTAATTGATTCCAAGTCATATTTCATACTGTTGGGAAGATTTGAAACAAGGCAGATTGGTTGGTTACATGTGACTCAAGTTACTGAGATGCCCTTTTTATTTTTTTTAAGCTATTTATTTTAAATATTTTTTATTTAAATTCAATTAATTAACATATAGTGTATTATTAGTTTCAGAGGTAGAAACTAACAACTCATCGGTCTTATATAATACCCGGTGCTCATTACTTCATGTACCCTCCTTAATGTTCATTTTCCAGTTACCCCATGCCCCCATGCACCATGCCCCCAGCATCTCTCAGTTTGTTTCTTATAATTAAGAGTTTCTCATGGTTTTTCTACCTTTCTGATTTCATCTGGTTTTGTTTTTTCAAAACAAATGATCCTTTGTTTTGTTTTGTTTGTTTTGTTTTGTTTCTTAAATTCCACATATAAGTGAGATCATGTGATAATTGTCATTCTCTGATTGACTTATTTTGCTTAACATAATACCCTCTAGCTCCATCCACATCCTTGCAAATGGCAAGATTTCATTTTTTGATGGCTGAGTAGCATTCCACTGTGTATATATATATACCCCACATTCTTTATCCATTCATCTGTCGATAGACATCTGGCTATTGTGGACACTGCTGCTATAAATATTGGGGTGCAGGTGCTCCTTTGGATCACTACATTTGTATCTTTGGGGTAAATACCTAGTAGATGCTCTTTTTAATTTAAATGTTTATATTTCTTATTACTGAAAATTTCAACCATATAGAAAAGGAGAGCAAGTAACACAGTGAATTCCCAAGTATCCATCACTTAGCTTCCAAGATGAGCAACTCATGGCCCAACCCTTTTCATATAGAACTCCTTCTCTTACTCACCCCCAGGCTCCTTGCTCCAAAGCAAGACTCAGACATCAAATCGTTTGTGCTCAGATATTCATCACCCATCTTCCAAGCAGGATAAGCGATAATCAAGAGTCCAGCCCAGAAGCAAATGTAGCAGTTGCACATTATGAGAGTGTAATAAAGATGAATGTTAGAAGTATATTAAAGAGGCATAAACTGAAGCACATCATCTTCAGTGAATATTTTCATAGTCTCTTATGGAGGTCCCCAGACATCCAGAGTGGTGCATCTGCGACCCAAATCCGGTCCCAGTTCTGTGCCATTGTCACAAGTCTGTGAACGTGTGAAGTCCACAGAGCCTACTTTTGGTCTGGGGTCCCACAGAGCCTTTCCTCGTAATCCTCCTCTGACTAGTCTTGGGACCACGCCTGAAACTCCACGTTATTGCATTACTCCCTTTGATCTGCCAGCACTGTGGGCCCCACTGAAAGCCGGACAAGTGGGACTTTATCAATCATTATCAATTTAGTTGTTTCACATAACTTTTTTCCTCATTACAAAAGTAATGTGAGTTCATGACAGACAATGTAGAAAATACAAAAAAGCCCCAAAGAGAACATAAACAGCACCCATAATCAGGGGTAAATAATATATTAGTGCTTGTCTTCTATTTATTTTCCCTAGGCACACATACACTTTTTTCCCCATGAAAACAGGGTATTTTACATTTCATCTTTAATTTGCTTTCATCACTTAATAATATATTGTAAATATACTTCTCTATGATTACTCTTCTCCAACATAATTTTTTACTTTTACAAAATATTCCATTCTAAGAAAGTACTATAATTACTGTCCTTTTGGGGACATTTAGATTATTTTCTTTTAGTGACACCTTTGTGGAGCACATTCTTTCTTTTTTTTTTAAGAGAGAACGCACAGTTAAGAGAGTACACAGGTGAGGCTGGGGGTGGGGAGATGAGGGGAAGGGCAGAGAGAGAGAAGGAGAGAAAGAATCTTAAGCAGGCTCAATGCCCAGTGTAGGGATGGATACAGAGCTCAAACTCACGACTCTGAGATCATGACCTGAGCTGAAATCAAAAGTTGGACACTTAACCAGCTGAACCACCCAGGCACCCCTGTGGGGTACATTCTTAAAGCTGAACTCTACATACCAGTGTTTGTTTCCTTAGAAAATAATCATTGGCTAGAAATAGTTGGAGCCAGGGATATGTATGCTTAAAGATCTCTCCATTTTTAAATGTAATTCCAACTACACTTTAGAAAAACTGCACCAAATTATACTCCCATCAACAGTTTATAAATGTACTTCTGTTTCTGTGCACCCTTATCAATGTTATTTCTTGTACAAAAGTCTGTTCGTTTGAAAACACATACCTGTTAGTTTTCATTGACCAACTTAGTCTTAGCTCAGACTAGAGTTCTGTAAAGTTTAGCTAGAGAGTTATGGTGCTGAAATAGAAGAAGGAAGATCGAGGGCATAGACTTGCTAGTGTATTTTACAAAGTAAGGTTAGAATAGGATATTTGAAAGCTGGAAAAGTCAGTTCATAAGGTTTCTACCACAATGTGGAACTCTTAAGTAAGGGCTTGAGGAGAATCAAATATGGCACTCACCTAGCCCCTAGCCCCTCACTGCCTCCAGCCGCTAGCAGAGTTCAATTCAATCAAGTCTCAAGACGAGTGGCTCTGCAGAAAGGAGCACTTCTTTTCAGGCTCCTCCAACACACTGGTCCTGCTTCCTCATTAGGAAAATGAGAATAAATATCACACCAATATTACCCTCATTGAAGGTTTACTGTGGAACTAAATCAAGTCATGTATTTTGAAAATACTTTGTAAACCTTAAGTGCCACAAGAATGTAGCGAGGGAATTAGATTCTAAAGGCAGCAAGTAGGGGCACCTGGGTGGCTCAGTCGGTTAAGAGTCCAGCTCTCGATTTTGGCTCAGGTCATAATTTCAGGGTTGTGAGATGGAGCCACACTTCAGGCTCTGCGCTGGGTGTGGAGCCTGCTTAAGATTCTCTCCCTCTCTCTCTAAAATAAATAAATAAATAAATAACCTCAGCAAGTAAAGTTAAAACTGAGTGCAAAAAAAAAAAATTACTTATAAGTTCCTTATATTACACATGTGTGCAGTAAGATGCTCTCAGAAGGCACACGAGCACAAAGTCCCTCTGAAAGGGAGCTGGGACAAATACATTCTCAGTAAAATGGCCAGAGGAATTGCTGCACTGTAACTGATTCATTTTCTCTTTCTGCCAAGAGTATAGCTGGATCTGAGTAAGTCAGATAAAAGTAGGATGCAACACTGTTGTTGTTCTAGTTTTATTTTTTTAAATCAAGAAACCTCCCAGGGTCTCTTTATTTGTCTGATGGTGTACTTCAGCTGGATCAGGGTTTTCCTTCCAATTTTCATTTGACACATATTTTCAGAGTTTACTATTCTAAGTGTGTGCCAGGCTGCTCTGTTGGATGTTGGCAAAAAAACACCAGGAAGGAGACACAGGCTGACCACAAGAGGCCAGTGAGAGGTGAGGCAGTTTCAGCTTTGATTTGAGGAATCCTGGGTTCTTTGATCGCCTTCTGGGGAATGCAGTGAATGTTTAAAAAAATTAAGTTACATTCTTTGTTATGAGTACCAGCTGCAAGGCTACATCTGATATGTATTAAGTTACTTTGTTTCTTCCTCTGCTATGTTGCTACTTTTTAATGTAACATTTGCTTTAAACCTAGGTTAATCCAACTATTTTTTAATTTAAAAAAATGTGGAAAAATGCAAACTGAACAAAAAGAACGGACAATGAGAAGCAAGCTTTTTATTCTAGGCCCGCCCTACACTCCATCCCCATTCACACCGTCCTCCTATCCAAAGGTAATCGCTGGGTCAATACTTAAAAAGAAACAGTTGTTAAGGTGATCCCTGGGGTCGAGAAGTTAAACAACCAACTACAGAGACTCTAAAGTCTGTTCCAGCTCAGAAATTATGTCCAGGTCTTTTGCAGCATATACTTTACTGAGGGTGCAAAAAAGAGAGAGCCTTGCCTTGTCTTGCCTTGTCTAACGTTGTGGTTGACAAAGGCACAGATGAATATAAACTGAATTCAAAAATTACACGCTAGATTTGGAAACATGAAGGAAAAATCTGAGACACGTTCATGGTAGGTGGTTTATTCACGGATTAAATAAAGTCCCCCTTTGGGCTGTAAACTCCATGAGGGTAGGAACTCTATCGCGAGCTTTCACTGCAGACCTTGGCACACAACAGAGGTTCAAGGGGCGCAGGACCCCACCACCCAGCACCTGGGTGGAGGTGGAGGGGTGGGGCGGAAGGGAAAGTCATGTGACTTGATCAGGGCGCAAACCCTCCCAGCCCCCGCCCCACGGGCCTCACCAATCCGTGAAAAGAAGTCAAATTTGGCTAGGTCTGGCATGAGGCGTGCTCCGCCGGCCCAGTCACCCCGCAGCGGCGTCTCGCCCAGTTCGGCCCACTTTCGTGTAAGTCTCAGGCTGCTGCCCCGCCCACCCGGCCCAAACAAAATATTCCAGATTGCAAGTGGGAGGCTCAAAGGGGCAAGAAGGGGGCAAAAGCGCATGCGTACTGACGCAGCGCGGCGGCCGCTCTTGAAGATTGGGGCGGAGCTTCAGAAAGCAGAGCGAGGAGGAGGGGAGAAGCCTCCAATGCGCGTGCGCGCGACAGCCCTCCCCTGCCCGACCCACGCGGCGCGGCGTGGTGACGCCCGTGCGGCCCGAGGAAGGGGTGGGGCCGGGCCGGGGCGGGCCTCCGCGCTCCTCCCGCCCCCTCTCCATCCTGACTCTTCCTCCCCCTACCTCCCCCACAGTGGGCCCCGTCAGCCCGAGGATTCCTTCGTCGCTCAGCTTCGCGTCGGCCCGGCCCGGCCCGGCCCGGCCAGCGGGCAGATGCCCCGAGCTGCCGCTGCCGACGCCGCCGAGTCGGCCGGTGGCGGTGTGGGAGGCGGGCGTCCGGCCCCGGGCCGCTGAGTGTGACGGACGGGGCCGGGGGCCGCCGGGCGCCGCGGCGTCTGCGGCTCCGCGCGGACCATGTATTTCCTGAGCGGCTGGCCCAAGAGGCTGCTGTGCCCTCTGGGCACCCCGGCCGAGGCGCCCTTCCACGTTCAGTCCGACCCCCAGAGGACTTTCTTCGCCGTGCTGGCTCCGGTCCGCCTCAGCATCTGGTACAGCCGCGTAAGTAGAGCCGCCCGCCGCCTCTTGCCGCTCCCTCCCCGGCGCCCCGGCACGGTCCCGCCCTTAACTTCCACCCGGAGTCCCGCGCCCCTGCCCCTCGGCGCCGGACCCGCGGCTCCTCGCGGCCGCTTCCCCGTTCGGCCGGGGCTCGCGGGCAGATGCGGCGGCGGCAGCCGAAAAGCCGTGCGCCTCCCCGCGTCGGAGCGGCGGCCGCGCACCGCGCACACCCCGCGCGCTCCTTCGGCCGAGCCCAGACTTGCCCTCCGCTCCCTTCCCCCATTCCCCGAGGAGCGAATTTGTTTAAACTTTCCACAAATAGAAACCTGGGAGCTGTGAGTTCCCAGCCCTCCCCTGCTTTCCAGGCGGTGGTTCGGGAGTTGGGGAAAGCCTGTTGGGCTTCACCCAGGGCCAGACTTCCCAGGCCTGCGAGAACTTATTTCCAGCAGCTGCAGCCAGGAGTCTTTAGTTTTACCAAGGGTCTGCTTGTCCTGCTCCTCGCTTCACCCCCAAACATCTGCCCACTCTCCGGCTAGTGCCCTTCTCTGCTGCTCTTGGACTCTGCGTTGGAGAATTACTGGGGGCTTCGGAGGAGCTTGAGTTGAACTCAAATCTGTCCGCGCTGCTCCCGGGTATTTAACACCTGGAAATAATCAGACTCGGGACAAGCATGAAACTGAGTTCTGTGTTTGCTTTCTGCGAGTCCTGGTATTTCATTCGTGTATCTAATTACCGAGTAGATAAGCGGGGGTGGGGGGAGACCTCGAAAATAAGTGGTGGATGGGATACTCTCCATTTCCCGGGAACGCTGCTCTAGGTCAGTCTATAAAAGCGACGGAATTAAAGTTCTTTTTTTTTCCCCTCCCCAAAGAAGGCGGTACTAACCGACGTCAGAGTGAAGTTTTCCCTTTTTATAGCTAACTTGTCCTCGTGGAAATAGGTTGTGACCTTGGCTTTATTACATCTGTGTGGCACACTGGCTTTACTGGCTTGAGTTAAATTAGTGAAAACCCTCAACTGTCTCTACTGACCATTTGAATACTTACATAAAGCCCTTGACTGTTCTCACACACAGCCCTGGTAGAAGTGATGACGGGATTTAGATATTTCTGGTATCTTTTTATGTGGCTGTCATAGGCTGTAAATCAGACTGCCATTAAGTTTGGGCCGATTTAATTTTTAAGTATGTATCAAGACAAAAGAGGTTGTTACATAACCAGCAGTGTGACAGTTCAGTCTGGTGCTTGATTTCGTTTTTGAATATGTATATTGTATATCATTTGGTTTTTAAATGAGATACTAATTCATTTACGTTGTGTAGCCAGCATAATAATTTTTATTTCTTTGGGCATATATAAGTATTATCTTTAAAGTAGCATGCAGAAAAAGAAATTAGAACTTCAGTGTTAAGTTGTATTCTAAATTTAGTATGAATTTATACTCTAATGTAACAGCCTGAAATTTAACTATCTTTAAAAAGGTGGACCTAATTTAAGTTTAGGCAGAACTTAGTATGAAGGATGAATAGACCAGAAGCCTGTAGGTTACTTTATCATTCTTTAAAAGAAACAAAAATATACTTCAGCTTTCTTAGGGATATTTTATTAAAAATTTTTTTGCTTTTGCAGTTGGATATTATGTAAATTAGGCAGTCATGGAATTTAAAACAACTACTACTCCTTCCTTTAAGCTTTCATCCGACACATATAGATACCTACTTTCTACGGAAGTCCTGGGATCACTACCATTAAGACACAATGTGCAGTTAGGTCTAGGGACTCTGTGGGCTCACAAGTATCGGGTTAAATGAAATGCAGGTATACCTCAGGGGAGGCTGCATGTTACTGTAGATTTTATGGTTAACCTTGATCCCTGGCATCAGCTTCATCACTTTGAAAATGAAGATTGGATCAGATGATTTTAGGGACGCCTTGGTGGCTCAGTCAGTTAAGCCGCTGCCTTCGGCTCAGGTCATGATCCCAGGGGGTCGTAGGATGGAGTTCCGCAGGCTCCTTGCTCAGCGGGGAGCCTGCTTCTCTCTCTGTCTCTGCCTGCTTGTGCGCTCTCTCTCTCTCTCTCTCTCTCTCTGAGAAATAAATAAATAATAAAATCTTAAAAAAAAAAAAAGATTGGATCAGATGCTTTTAAAGTCCGTGATTATATAGCTGGGATGATGATAAACAGGTGACGGATTCCAGCTTTGAACCTCTTCTACTAGAAGAGATTTTTTTCACTCAGAGTTTTTTGGGTTTCGTTTTGTTTAATTTCTAAACTTACAGAAACTAAGTTAAAATCAATTTCAGTTAGCAAACTTCCTTTAAAGATGAAAGCAACTCTAGCTAAATTGAGGAGCTATCAGTTACTGTGCAGTAGAGTGAATTGGTTTAAAATGTTCACCTGAGAAGATGAAAGCTTTGCTTTTGGAGAGATATTATACATACAGGTAATTTTATAGAATAAAGTGAACATGGAAGATCTAAAGAAGGGTTTTTATGGAGTTGAGGTCTTAAAAGCTGCTATGAGGACATGTGGAGACAAGGAGAGACTTGCATGAAGAGGTAAAGATATAATGGGATTTGCTTATTTGAAATTTTGTTGGGTCTCTCTTCGTTAAGTCACTTAGGGATGAATTTTTAAAAAGAGAAAATGTGCATTTAATAGTCTAAGCTGTTTTTTTTTCAGATGTCCAAAAGAATTGTTATGTTTAAAATGTTGATTAGTCGTGAGACTATACAAACATTACAGTAAAATCTCTAACTTGTGTACATTTTATGGTTTTTTTAGTGAAAAATTTTTTTAGGATTTTATTTATTTATTTGACAGAGACACAGAGAGAAAGGGAACACAAGCAGGGGGAGTGGGAGAGAGAGAAGCATTTTTAGTGTGAAGGTGTAACTTGTTTTCATTGTAACATGTTGTAAATTTGTTTTCTCTACTTTGTGATTCTACTTAGAAGTTCTAAAAATTGCTTAGGAGTTTACAACAGGGATCATCCATATATTCTGGAACCCAAAAAAGGATGCTTAAAAAATGGTTGAGGTTGTTAGGTTGTTATGTTAGATTGTTATGTTAGGTTGGGGTGGTAAAGGTATGACTTAATTGACGGAGCAGTTGACCATTATTTCTGCTAAGGATATTGTGAAAGGACTAGTTTCAGTTTTGGGACTGAAGTTGCTGTTTAAATCATGTTATGATTTATGACTAACCCATTTATGGGTGTTGTGGGAGATTGTGTTTTGTACATACTAGAGAGCCTAGAATTATTTTTCTAATATGCTATTGAAGTATAAATATTAAAGTCCACGTATGTGAACCACAAAATGATACCTTAGAATGCTGTAATTCTAAATTAGTCTTATCTCCATTTTCAGGTCATAATTTCATATATATAAATTACCCTTAGAAGTATTTTTGAACACCTTCTATGGAAGATTGCATAAATAGGCGATGTATGAAGGGAATGAAGGGGCACGTAAAACGTAACAAAACACTTTATCCAAAGATGTTAGTGTATTGATAATCAATGAGAATTTTGTGAGTTATCACTGTGAAGGTTGCTAATAAAGAGCTGAAATATGCAAATAATTACTGAGCTTATGAAATTGATTATGTGTCTTTGAGTAAACCTAACTAGTAACTTACGTCCTTGTTGGTGTATGCTAGTAATAGAGAACTATGAAATAGATGTTCAAAGCAGCCACATTGTGGGATTAAGTATATGGTTACCTGTGGACCTCAGGAAGGTCATTCAGTTTGTACCTAGATTTTCCCAGTCTCCCATTTCTTACTTTCTCAGTTCTGTTCTATTGTGGACTGCCTCCAGAGAGCCTTCTGTGTGAACTCACTGCTTGGAAGTCTTTTAGGGTTCTTTGTTGGTTAAAGAATGAAGTTCAAACTCCTTAGTTTGCTATCAGATACGCTCCCCTCTTGGGATGCTCACTTGCCCCATCTCTGCCTATCAGAATATCATCCGTCCTTTAGTTGCTGTAGAAATCCTATTTTCTCTGAGTCCTTATTTACCATAACCAGAAAGGTTCATTTTTTTTTGGTGAACTAATCTTTGTATTATAAGTTTTGCACACATGATTTAATTCTCCAATTAGATTTTAAGTTTCTGGAGGGCAGAAATGATCTTTCGTACTACCCATAATGCCTTGTACAAAAGCATATGCTTAATAAATATTTTAAAAATAATTTAGGGTATCCTATGCATAGCACAGAATTTTTTTAAAAGGTTTAATAAATGGAAGGTTTTTAAATGTTGACATGTAATAAAAATAAACATAGTAGTATTAAATTACAAGTTAAAGTCAGAAAAAGTTATTTTAGAGAGGGTTATTTAAATGAAAGTGAATTAAGTATTTTTTATTATATTCAGTTATATTAGAAAAGTATATGTGTATATACAGTTCAGTTATATTAGAAAAGAGTAGTACGTGTTATTCACAGTAGCCAAGATAGGGAAACAACCTAAGTGTCAGTGGACAAATGGATAAAGATTTGGTATATATTCACAATGGAATATTCTTCAGCCACAAGAAATAAGGATAGCTTTCCAATTGCAGCAACTTGGATGGACCTTGAGGGCATTATGTTAAGTAAAATTAGAGACAGATACTGCATGATGGCACTTATTTGTGGAATATAAAAAAGCCAAATGCATAGATAGACGAGAATGCTAGGAGGTGTGGCCAAAAGAGAATTGTTCAAAGGGTACAAACTTCAGCTGTAAGGTGATTTCGGGGGATTTAATGTACAGCATAATGAGACTAGTTCCCAATACTGTTTTATATACTTGAAAGTTGCCAAGAGAGTAGATCTTCAATGTTCTCACTATGGAAAAGAAAGGATAAACAGGGGGTGCAGGAGTCAGCTAACACTCTGGTGGTGAACATTTTGCAAGACACCAGTGCATCAAACAACATGCTGTACATAAACCTATGCAGTGCTGTATGCCGGTGATAACTCTGTAAGCTAGGGAGGAAGAGTGCTACATGGTAACG